TGGACATCACTTGCCTTTTTTTTTGTTTGTGTAATTTTTGATTACCAGACCTTTAAGTTTTACATCTGATTTGTCTTAACTGAATATGTTTCTTTGTGTTTTCGCTTTCTAGGTTCAAAATAAAAACAACAGACACTATAATAAACTGTAGCAAGCTTAAACATGTCTGTGATTTATATTAACGGTGGAATAAGATCAGATCACTCACCTCCTCCTCTGGTTAAAGTCCATTGGAAACTCAGGATCACCGCAAACACAAGACATTTAATCCCAGTCATGTTTCTGTGAGGATCTGTTTGTGTGTCGCTGCGACAATGTCCAACAGCAAAAAACAATGAGTGGAAGCACAAGTGGCACAAAGCCAGTGCTGCAAGGGATCAGTGTGATACTGTGATTAAATCATGAAGCAGGAATTAGAACAATGTTTTACGTACTTGGGCGTGTCCTCAACATTTATCCACCTTAAGATTAGAATAAACATCATTAGCTGTTTACTGTCTCTAACTTCCTCTGCACTGACACACTGTACAGACCTATAAACCTGCAGAGGAGCTATGATACACTTTATATTAAACTAGAAAAACTGATTCTGGATCAGAAGAAAAACTAAAATCATGTAGTTGACAAAAAAAAGAGGAAAAAAACAAATCTCTTTCTTTCTTTCTTTCTTTCTTTCTTTCTTTCTTTCTTTCTTTCTTTCTTTAAGATGTTTGGATTCAGATGCAGTAGAGGTTAACAGAGAAGGACGTTATCCTCTGGCTCCATCTGTTGTCCAGTCTTAGAGGGTGTGAGGATTTATTTTTGATGAGACAATCTATCTTCATGGCTAAATATCAAATGGTGAAAAACAGTAGGTTTATCATCCTGCTACGCCTATTTCTTTCTCTTTTTTTTTCTTCAACAACCTCCAAGATTCACAGTAACACGTTGACGACTGCTGTCAACAGTGGGGAGAGGGGAGATGGTAAAGGGAACATTCATGGAGAAAAGGTCAAAGCATTGTGGGAAAATACTGACATGATATTTTTGTTTAATGTGTTCAAGCACAGAAAAGCACCAACATCTTTTCATTGGTAACAACAAGTGAACAGATGTTTTTCTCTTTAAAACGTAAAGACAAATGACACAGTGTTTCCTGGTCTGACCTCCAGTCAGTATGTTGTGTCACTACTTACACATCCTGGCTCCGCATCGTTACAGACATACAACAAATCAGTACAACAAATCAGGTGCAAAGACTCAAACTGTCATGTTTCTTGTATCCTCTACTTTCAGGTTGACTAATGAAACCTTGATTGCTCCACCAGCATTGACGAAGCATCTGTATCTGCCCTGGTCTTGGACCTCCACCCCTGTCAGCTGGACTGAGGCGTTTCCTCTGGAGAGCTGGTCCTTGAACAGCGACGTCCTTCCTCTGTAGCGCTGGTTCTGGAAATAGAGTTGGTCTTGGTTGTGGTAGTGGGCGTGGATACGGACGTATTGTGGGGTCACATGAAACCAGTGTATGAGCGCATCAGAGCCGCCCTGGTAGCTGCATGGTAAGATGCAGGTCTCCGTGGCAACACAGGTCACCTCAGTTTCTGCAATACATCAGGTACAAGCAACACAACTTTACTGAGAGGGTCTGACCCTGTATTAATTGTATAGCATATGTTGCATTTAGGGGACATTTCAACAATCAGAATTTTAAGGTTTGTGATGATAATTGTGTCCGAATGAGTATTAAAGAAGCTGCTGTAAAGATGTCTGCCCTCACATTCAACCCTAAAACTACAAGATAAAAGATTCAAAAGTAAAATACTCTGATAAAGAAAACATTGAATGTACCAGATACAGTTTTGAACATCATTTCTATCCTGACAGGAATAAGATCTGACAGGCAGTGAACGCCTCACTCACCTCCTCTGGAAACACTAAACATCCACAGGAAGGTCAGGGACCAAACGATAAACTTGACCCCAGTCATCGTCTTCTTGAAGTTACTGTGGAGCAAAGAGAGAAAAAGAAATCTTTATTGGAGCAGAATAAACAAAGGCTGTCTTTGCTTTATTTTGTGCACAGATTGTTCAGAAAATCCCTGAACAAGTGAATTGTTGTCAGTGTTTAAATTCAGTCAGCAGTGCATGAAACCTGCTGTGCAGCCGGTGGACACTATTTAATCTATAACGACAGATAAAATGAAGCAAAGTTCAGTGTCTGGTTCAGTTTGTTTCATGCCCAAACAGACCCTCCCTCTCTCTCCGGGCTTGTTCAATCTCTTTTTCTCTCTGTCAGAGGAGCGTTAACCGTCGGGACACCACTGACAGCTCTTTAAGTGCAGCTTTGATATAAACGACTGGCAGTAAACACCTCACTCACCTGCCTTGTCAGGAGTCAAAATCCTCAGATAACACACCGCACCGTCAAGCCACATGCAGCATGAGATCCTGGTGACCCTGAGGCAGTTATATAGGCTGATGCTGTGAACCTGGAGGTGGGGTCTCCTCCCCTGTGGGAGGAAACATTTCATGTCACACAGCTGATATCAAAGCGAATATCAGGAGACATCAAGAGTGAACAGTAACAGAGTATTTTATTTTGAAACTTATCTCTTCCACTCAACTACACTCAAGAGACACATATTGTACTTTTGACTCCACTACGTTTCTATGAAGTACTCTTACTTTGAAACAGCTTTTAGCCAGTGGAATGGAGTTTCTTTTATTTTGAAAATGTGACAGAACATACACTGTGCTCCAGTCACAGCCAGCTCCTACTCAAATCCTCCTGCCTACATCTCTAACTTCCTCTGCACTGACAGACTGTACAGAGCTATAAACCTGCAGAGGAGCTATGACACACTTTATATTAAACTAGAAAAACTGATTCTGGATCAGAAGAAAAACAAAAATCATGTATTTGACAAAAAAAAGAGGAAAAAAAGGAATCTGTTTCTTGCTTTTTTTTCTATAAGATGTTTGGATTCAGCTACGCCTATTTCTACTTTTTTTTCCCCATCATTCTCTCAGACTCTTTTTCTCCTCCTCACTTTTGTTCTCCGAGTGTTATAGATTTCACAGCTCCCGTCGGATTCATTTTGAATGCTCATGAAGAAATGGTCAAAGCGTTGTGCGAAAATATTGACATGATATTTTTATTCAATGTGTTCAAGCACAGAAAAGCACCAACATCATTTCATTGGTAACAAGAAGTGAACAGATGTTTTTTCTCTTTAAAACATAAAGACAAATGACACAGTGTTTCCTGGTCTGACCTCCAGTATGTTGTGTCACTACTTACACATCCTGGCTCCACATCGTTACAGACATACAACAAATCAGTGAACACAGAAGCTGCATAAGGTGCAAAGACTCAAACTCCTTTATCCTCCACTCTCAGGTAGTGAAATATAACCTTGACTTGTCCACGAGAATTGGTGTAGCATCTGTATGTGCCCTGGTCTTCAAACTCCACCCCTGTCAGCTGGAGTGAGCAGTTTCCTCTGGAGACCTGGTCCTTGAACAGCGACGTCCTTCCTCTGTAGCGCGACTCCTGGAAACTGAGCTGGTCTTTGTTTCTGTAGTAGGCGTGGACATGGACGTATTGTGGGGTCATATGAAACCAGTGTACGAGCGGATCAGAGCTGCTCTGGTAGCTGCACGGTAAGACGCAGGTCTCGTTGGCAACACAGATCACAAGGTCTGAAATACATCAGGTACAAGCAACACAACTTTACTGAGAGGTTCTGGCCCTGTGTTAAATGTACAGCATATGTTGCATTTAGGGAACATTTCAACAATCAGATTTTTAAGGATCTCGACAATAAGAGCCAATTGTGTCCAAATGAGCATTAAAGAAGCTGCTAGCATAAGCAGCTTTGAACATCATTTCTATCCTGACAGGAATAAGATCTGACAGGCAGTGAACGCCTCACTCACCTCCTCTGGAAACACTAAACATCCACAGGAAGGTCAGGGACCAAACGGTAAACTTGACCCCAGTCATCGTCTTGTTGAAGTTACTGTGGAGCAAAGAGAGAAAAAGAAATCTTTATTCTGCTCAGCAAAAGATTTTTAAACAAAGGCTGTCTTTGCTTTATTTCGTGCACGGATTGTTCAGAAAATTTGTTGATTTGTGAATTGTTGTCTGTGTTTAATTTCACTGAGCAGTGCACGACACCTGCTGTGCAGCCGGTGGACACTATTTAATCTAATGACAGAGTAAATAAAGCAAAGTTCAGTGTCTGGTTCAGGTTGTTGTCAGAGGAGCATTAACCGTCGGGACACCACTGACAGCTCTTTAAGTGCAGCTTAGATATAAACGACTGGCAGTAAACACCTCACTCACCTGCCTTGTCAGGAGTCAAAATCCTCAGATAACACACGGCACCGTCAAGCCACATGCAGCATGAGATCCTGGTGACCCTGAGGCAGTTATATAGGCTGATGCTGTGAACCTGGAGGTGGGGTCTCCTCCCCTGTGGGAGGAAACATTTCATGTCACACAGCTGATATCAAAGCGAATATCAGGAGACATCAGGAGTGAACAGTAACAGAGTATTTTATTTTGAAACTTATCTCTTTCACTCACCTACACTCAAGAGACACATATTGTACTTTTGACTCCACTACGTTTCTATGAAGTACTCTTACTTTGAAATAACTTCGAGCCAGTGGAATGGATTTTTTCCTTTATTTTGAAAATGTGACAGAACATACACTGTGTTCCAATCAAAGCCAACTCCCACTCAAATCCTCCTGTTGTGCTCGCTGCATGTTTGAACAGCTCATGTTTGACCTCGGCAGTGTCCTAACGATGGCTATGTTGGCTAGAGATGACACAGAAGAGTCTGGTAACTCCAAGTTTTCGAAATAAAGAAAGATTCCCTCTGTTTCACATGTTTGCTGTGTCAATTCGCCGTCTGCCACTTCTTCCTGTTGCTCACCAGGTATCCATTTTCATACAGGTAAACAATGTGGTCATCACAGTGATAGTTCTTAATACAAGAAGAAGAAGAAAACTAAACAACAAAGGTGTTTTTATACATTTGCACAAATCAGTGGACAGTTGTAGCAATTGTTACTAAGCAATGTGGAAAAGAGGATGTACTTTAAACTGCCCCCACAGTCATGTGACTGTACACTTGATGACAGAAATAAAAGTTCCCTGAGGAAGTTCATGTCAGCATCTCATGTCTCTCACGATGGCTCCTGATGTTTTCCACCACAGAGAAAGATTTTACTTTCTCCACAACACATGAATGTGGAGTAACATCAAAACATTCAGTCTCTGGTGAAGAAGGTCATTTGTCTCTCCTGCTTGTTTTCCATATGAATGAATGAATGATTGTCTCCATGCCCGCAGTCTTTCAACAGAGTCAGCATATGTGACTGGGACAGAGGGGTGAAGGTCAGGTTTCCACCTCTCTGACGAGACGTTGATTCAATGAAGTGTTGTTTGTGTCCCACTGCCCTGCAAAGCAAATAAGATAAAGTTCATGATTCATTCATTTGATTTTATATTTTATCCTTCCTCCCATTAAGTGAGTTTTCTGTTTTCATGACGTGTGTGTTCTATGAAACTCTCCTTCTGCTTCTTTTTAGATGATACAGTTCATTTTAAACAAGATTTCAACTGAAGGGAAAAGATTAAATCAATTGCAAATGCCAAATATAAAATATAAAATGCTGTGCTCTAGAAAATGATTGTGGGAAATGTAAATTAGACATAACAGTAGAAAACTGGTTATATCGTCATGACAGCAATACTCTCCTTTGTTAACTTATACACTGTTGCTCATACAGAGCAAGATTTGAAGTCCAAAAATATAACATCATCAATACAAACAACAAACAAGAAATTATTTACAAAGTGTAAGCAGAATATTATTTTACCTTTTTTCTTTATACAGTGCAGTACCAGGGCAACAACAACTGCTGCTGCTACGACGACAGCCAAAATAATTATAACCACCACATCTCTACCAATGGTTAATTTCCCTGAAAAAGAAAAAGGACTTAATTCTCACATTTAGATGACAGAGCCATGAAATGTTTCACTTTTTTGCTTTAAAAATGACTTTTACTGATGAATCAATTGTTAAAATAGTTGCAAATTAATTTTCTGTTGATTGACTAAGAGATGAATGAAATAACCATTACAGCTCTACTAATTTCAACTATTTTAATACTGTTTTAATGGTTTAATGTAACAGTGCGTTATATTTTATAAGTTCGTTTTATGGTTTCAATGGAAAATGTGATTCTGTATAGTCAAATAGTCGAGTAAAAATTATATTAGCAAAGTAGAAGAGTAGATGAGCATGAAATGAGTAAAGATTAACTTCAGTACTTGAGTAAAAATACTTGGTTACTTGCCTGATTTAAACAGAGTGGCTCTCTTCTTGTTTCTGCGAGTGCTGACGGTGCAGCTGTAGCCCAGATCAGTATCAGTATCTGAAGGTATCAGAGAACTCCTGATGTTGTAGAGCAGCTGTTCAGTCTTCTGGATGGTGGTTTTGTGCTGGAGATTCATGTTGGATGGAGGGCTGGTGGACCAGGTGAGCTCAGGCTCAGGGTAGATCCCCTCTGAGCTGCAGGTGATCCTGTTTTCTACCTGCTGGAGGTCGACTTTACATACTGGAGCTGCAAAACAAACAACAACAAAAGAGAGAAGAAAATATTTGAAGGATGTTTGTTTTGAATTTGACCACATCTTTGTTACTGAACATTTATAAATGTACTTCAAAATGCATTTCAAAAGCACGAACAAATTATTTTCGGTATTTACTCTGTGTTTGTCATACCGTCCACTTTCAGGTTGATGAATGAATCCTTGTTTCCTCTGATGGTGCTGGTGTGACACTTGTATCTGCCCTTGTCCTGAACCTCCACCCCTGTCAGCTGGAGTGAGGTGTTTCCTCTTGAGATCTGGTCCTTGAACAGTGACGTTCTGTCTCTGAAGCGCTGGTCCTGGTGTGTGAGCTGGTCTTGGTTGAAGTAGTAGGAGTGGACAGGAAGGTGTCCTGCAGTCACCTGAATCCAGTGTATGACCACATCAGTGCCGCCCTGGAAGCTGCACGGTAAGATGCAGCTCTCCATGAAAACACAGGACACCTCAGAGTCTGCAACATCAGGTACAGAGACATCTATCAAAGTTCAGCTGAATCCAGTTGAACTGTTTTCAAAGGATATATACATATATCCATTATATCAAAAATAAAGTTAGTTCTTTTCTAATGTTAGTCCCTCTATTAACAATAGATAACAAAACGAGCGTTCGTTGTCCATCTTTCAAAACAATGCTGTTCCACAAACAACGAAACCTAAAAGAAGAAAAACAAAAGATCATCGATAACAAACACGAAAGTAACACAAACAAGAATCCTTAGTAAACTCCAGTCCAAACACACATTTCTTTATGCTGCATTTTGTTTTGGTCTAATCACTAGGTATTTAAAACACCAACCATGTGTCAGCTGAAGGTTGTAAAACAAGTTCTCACCCTTCATTTACACTTATTTCCTGATGAAAATGAAAGTATGAAGCTCAAGTTTCACTGTGTGGAAATGCAAATGTGTCCAAAGAGGTTCTGATGATATAAAACTGTTTTAAACAGATTATTATCTGTGGAAGAATCAGTCAGTTTTCACTTCAGCACTTGACAATTGACTTGAGTTAGAACAAAACCTTTGTTTTTTGTGGCTTTGTGTAGATATTAGACACAATGTTCTGTTAAGCCTGTAAATACAGTAAATACAGTCTGAATACCTGAAACCAGGTAGCGGGTCTACACGTCTACACAACCTTGTTTTCTCAGCCGAACATTGTTCAAACCAACAGAACTTTATTTTAAACTCGAGAGATCCTAAAGTTCTCATCGATACGAAATCTGTAGTTTGGGGAATGTCTGAAATGACTCACTAGAGATAATTAGAAGGATCAGGTCATTCCACATTACTGTAATTCTTTGTAGCCATATGCATATAGTCTCAGTGTTATGTAAGAAGATTTTTGAGAAGTCTGTCAATGAGATTTCTGCCTCCAACTCTGATCAATGAAACTTTATTTTTCTCAAATCAGCAAAATAAAGTTACTTTTGATAAACTTCAGTCATTTCTGTCACTCAATCTCCTTGTTTCAAGGGATAATGTCTCAATTTATAATTCATTTATAATTAAAACACTCACACATGACACTAAAACTGCTGGACATCACTTGCTTTTTTTTTTGTTTGTGTAATTTTTGATTAACAGACCTTTAAGTTTTACATCTGATTTGTCTTAACTGAATATGTTTCTTTGTGTTTTCGCTTTCTAGGTTCAAAATAAAAACAACAGACACTATAATAAACTGTAGCAAGCTTAAACATGTCTGTGATTTATATTAACGGTGGAATAAGATCAGATCACTCACCTCCTCCTCTGGTTAAAGTCCATTGGAAACTCAGGATCACCGCAAACACAAGACATTTAATCCCAGTCATGTTTCTGTGAGGATCTGTTTGTGTGTCGCTGCGACAATGTTCAAGAGCAAAAAACAATGAGTGGAAGCACAAGTGGCACAAAGCCAGTGCTGCAAGGGATCAGTGTGATACTGTGATTAAATCATGAAGCAGGAATTAGAACAATGTTTTACGTACTTGGGCGTGTCCTCAACATTTATCCACCTTACGATTAGGATAAGCATCATTAGCTGTTTACTGTCTCTAACTTCCTCTGCACTGACACACTGTACAGACCTATAAACCTGCAGAGGAGCTATGATACACTTTATATACATATATTAAACTAGAAAAACTGATTCTGGATCAGAAGAAAATCAAAAATCATGTAGTTGACAAAAAAAAATAAAATAAAAAAAATAATCTCTTTCTTTCTTTCTTTCTTTCTTTCTTTCTTTAAGATGTTTGGATTCAGATGCAGTAGAGGTTAACAGAGAAGGACATTATCCTCTGGCTCCATCTGTTGTCCAGTCTTAGAGGGTGTGAGGATTTATTTTTGATGAGAAAATCTATCTTCATGGCTAAATATCAAATGGTGAAAAACAAGATTTATCATCCTGCTACGCCTATTTCTTTTTTCTTTTTCATCCACAACTTCCAAGATTCACAGTAACATGTTGACGACTGCTGTCAACTTGACGTTGAATCACGTTTTCGAAATAAAGAAAGATTCCCTCTGTTTCACATGTTTGCTGTGTCAATTCGCCGTCTGCCACTTCTTCCTGTTGCTCACCAGGTATCCATTTTCATACAGGTAAACAATGTGGTCATCACAGTGATAGTTCTTAATACAAGAAGAAGAAGAAAACTAAACAACAAAGGTGTTTTTATACATTTGCACAAATCAGTGGACAGTTGTAGCAATTGTTACTAAGCAATGTGGAAAAGAGGATGTACTTTAAACTGCCCCCACAGTCATGTGACTGTACACTTGATGACAGAAATAAAAGTTCCCTGAGGAAGTTCATGTCAGCATCTCATGTCTCTCACGATGGCTCCTGATGTTTTCCACCACAGAGAAAGATTTTACTTTCTCCACAACACATGAATGTGGAGTAACATCAAAACATTCAGTCTCTGGTGAAGAAGGTCATTTGTCTCTCCTGCTTGTTTTCCATATGAATGAATGAATGATTGTCTCCATGCCCGCAGTCTTTCAACAGAGTCAGCATATGTGACTGGGACAGAGGGGTGAAGGTCAGGTTTCCACCTCTCTGACGAGACGTTGATTCATTGAAGTGTTGTTTGTGTCCCACTGCCCTGCAAAGCAAATAAGATAAAGTTCATGATTCATTCATTTGATTTTATATTTTATCCTTCCTCCCATTAAGTGAGTTTTCTGTTTTCATGACGTGTGTGTTCTATGAAACTCTCCTTCTGCTTCTTTTTAGATGATACAGTTCATTTTAAACAAGATTTCAACTGAAGGGAAAAGATTAAATCAATTGCAAATGCCAAATATAAAATATAAAATGTCGTGCTCTAGAAAATGATTGTGGGAAATGTAAATTAGACATAACAGTAGAAAACTGGTTATATCGTCATGACAGCAATACTCTCCTTTGTTAACTTATACACTGTTGCTCATACAGAGCAAGATTTGAAGTCCAAAAATATAACATCATCAATACAAACAACAAACAAGAAATTATTTACAAAGTGTAAGCAGAATATTATTTTACCTTTTTTCTTTATACAGTGCAGTACCAAGACAACAACTGCTGCTGCTGCTACGACGACAGCCAAAATAATTATAACCACCACACCTGTGCCAATGGTTAATTTCCCTGAAATAGAGACACAGTTACTCAAACTCTTCCATGATGGTAGTTTCTGATGTTTTGATTGCAGATAATAACAGCTCATATTCTTATAGACTAATAATTCCTCACTTACAGCTGCCTCACCTGGATTCTCCATCCTCAGAAAGGTGTTGGTTGTCAGTGTCTCCTCAGCATCACTCAGTTCACAGGTGTATGTTCCCTCATGATGTGGAGATAAGTTCTGCAGCATGAGGCTGCCTGACTCTGACCCACCTTTCACCTGCTGCCTCCAGCCCTCTGAGACTGAGGAGGGGACGTCAGCTCTGGTCTGGTTCAGGACGATCTGACTGTGGTTGAATCTCCAGGTGAGACTGAAGCCTGTGAGGGAGGTGTTTGAGGCAGTGCAGGGGATCGTTGCTTCAGTGTGTGAACCACTAAGAGAAGCTGAAATGATGTCACACAGATAACACACAAAAAAGAGAAGACTCAAAGAGTTTAAAAAGCAACAAAACCCATTAACAGAAGAGATAATTGATATGCAGATGAACCAAGCAGAAAACAAACAGAAACTCAGTCCAGTGTCTTGAGTTTGAGACCCAGTGGTTTTCTACCCTTTGGTAATCAGTTCCAGAGTGACTACGTGTTTTTAAAAACACTTGCCTGATTTAAACAGAGTGGCTCTCTTCCTGTTTCTGCGAGTGCTGACGGTGCAGCTGTAGCCCACATCTGTATCAGTATCTGAAGGTATCAGAGAACTACTGATGTTGTAGAGCAGCTGCTCAGTCTTCTGGACTTCAGTTTGTTTCTTGAAGGTCAGATTGGATGGAGGGCTGGTGGACCAGGTGAGCTCTGGCTGAGGATAGATCCCCTCTGAGCTGCAGGTGGTCCTGTTTTCTACCTGCTGGAGGTCGACTTCATCAACTGGAGCTGCAAAGAAAAAGAGGATGTTGATGCTACATATGGATGAATTCACAACTAATTTTAGGTAATAAATTAATTTTTAATTTACCAGTTTGGCAACAAAGTTAACTGTTTCCTGCGTTTACTCTGTGTTTGTCATACCGTCCACTTTCAGGTTGATAAATGAATCCTTGTTTCCTCTGATGGTGCTGGGGTGACACTTGTATCTGCCCTGGTCCTGAACCTCCACCCCTGTCAGCTGGAGTGAGGCGTTTCCTCTGGAGATCTGGTCCTTGAACAGTGACGTTCTGTCTCTGAAGCGCTGGACCTGGTGTCCGAGCTGGTCTTGGTTGTGGTAGAACGAGTGGACAACAAGGTGTCCTACAGTCAGCTGAACCCAGTGTATGACCACATCAGTTCCGCCCTGGAAGCTGCACGGTAAGATGCAGCTCTCCATGAAAACACAGGACACCTCAGAGTCTGCAACATCAGGTACGAGCAAAACAACTTCACTGAGAAGTCAGAGGAATAAGCAAAGGGTTTTGTAGGTTTAAATGTTGGTGCACAGATGAACTAAACTGAGTAGTGAAGAATTGAATATAAATTTAAAGATGTAAATGTAGTCTGAATGGAAACACATAAGGTAACACAAGGTCTCAACACCCTCCCTCAGACTTCAAGAATACTGAATTGTGCAGTTTCTCTGCAAAAACAAGGATGTGAAATGGAAAGTCATGTCATGTGTCAAGTGATTTTAAATCTCCATTTAAAAATAGCTGTGTATTGAACAACTACATGCTTTCAGATCATTTATTATTATTTTAATTAGAGTATCACTGACTGTGTACAATCTGTAATCGCATGGATAATAAATGTTCATTCATTACCCACATCCACTCTGTGACATTACATCACTTATAGAGAACATATGCAAAGATGATTCGTAAACAAGCATGTGCATTTTATTATTATTATTATTATTATTATTATTGTTATTATAGAATATATTCTTTTCACTATGATGATTATAATTTATTTTTGTCCTCTTGTATTTTGCCATTACAGTAGGTAAAAGTGCAGGTGAGCAACAGAGGTGAACTGCACACATGCAGCAAAAGTATTTTACCTTTCAACCACCGAGGAGCTCACATGGGCCGACCCGAGTGAAAAGACAGTGAACACATGACTCACCTGCCTGTACAGGAATCATAACCCACAGAGAAATCCCCAACATCAGACACATGGCAGAGCAGAACTCCATCGTCCTCCTGTTCGTCTGGCTGCTTTTCCAGCATGACTAAAGAGGGAACTGATTTCTGCTGTTATAAGTAAGAACTGTTTCCCATAGGTTAGGGTCATTTGAAGACATGACCCTTCATTCAACAATAATATATAATAATATATAATAATAATAATAATAATAATACCAGTATTAATAGTATAAAGTCTCATGTTTGTATTGTAACAGTGGCTACTCTTGGGGTCCACAATTGAATTATTTAATTAAATCAATTAAACAATAGATTGATAACAGATGATATTAATACACATCGTCTTGTAAAAACTAAGCCCACAGGTCGTTTAAGCAGCAGTTCACTGACCAATAGTTACATTACAGGAAGGAAGCGTTCAATTCCCATGTGAAACCAGCAGTTTATATCGTAACCATGACAACAAAGAGTGTCTAATGTTGAGGAAGTACATTCATAATATTTCTGGGACCCTAGATCACAAAAATTGCCATAAAGGTTTATCCCACCTGAATACTACTTTTTGTCTAAGTACTTGTAGTTTTAAAGGTGAAATAAAAGGTAAAAGATGAATCATATGCAGTGGCCTTTAGTCACTGGATCTCAACCAGGTATTTGAAAGTTTGGAGAGACACGTGACACAAAGACGACTCTGGGGACACGTTCAAGGTCGTATACTCTATATGTTTTATACAATAATAAACAATAACAAGGAAAGTGAACAGAACAAATTCTCCACCATAGTTTAATGTTGCTTATATAGAGCATAGCTCTGATAGATTATAAGGTCAGGCAACATATAATCCTGCGGTATAGCCAACAGAGGGCTGCAGTTTCAGGACCATGCATGGTTGTGAAATATTATTAATAATATATAATTGTATTATATGGCTCATGGCTAAAAATAATAAAGTAATTAGTTCGCTACTGTTGTTATATTCATAAAAGCTGTCACACACATACTTCAAGTGTCATCCATCTTCTTACTGAAATGCCTGAAGGTCCTGTTGTCTAATTCCTTTAGAGAAAAGTGGCCCTGAAAGTGCAGCCTCTGGCTCTGCAGGAACACCCTACTCCCCCACAGGGGCGCTACTTCAGGAGACACTGTGGTTCGTATCGAAGGGTTCAGGCTAGAGGACTTGTTTGGAGGACTTAATGAAACTCATATTTTATCATGAATTACAATGAAAAGTGGATCAAATTCATACACGTAATATCAACAAAGTGCCACCGTATATTCTTTTTATTTTTGTGAAATCTTTATATTGATGAAAAACTGTTTCACAGAATCTCTGCACAGTGTGAACACTGAGTTTATTATAGGCACAACACACATCTTTATATTAAAGCCACACACTGTGACAACAAATGCACAAATCTGCAACACCTGAGACAAATCTTATATAAATACACGAAGCAGTTACTACATCAGCAATCGGACATCCTGCTGTATATTCTGGGCAAGGCTTGGCTAGTCTGCGTGTGTTTTTGCATGTGTGTGTGAGGGTCCTCTGGCTATTCCTCTGCTGAACCCCACCCAGAGCACAGTCAACCAGCAGATGAACAGCAGCACCTCTCTGCACGGCTTCACACAACCATTTACAGGTAAACGTCTGCAGAATTTTATTTTAGTCTCAGAGATTCGTGAAAAACTAAAACTGGAGCGTGATGGGTATTTTTATTCCCTGAGCAGGGCACGATGAAGCTGTTGGTCTGGCTCAGTATTCTCCTCTGCCTCTTTGCCTGTCATTTCATAGGTGAGTTCTTCGTTTTAAAGTCTTCTAATCTTACTGTAGTTCTCTAAATACTGTTGCTGTTTAGTTTATTCATGCAGTGAAAACACGTTGGGGTTAAGACATAAGACGTAAGTTTGATATATGTATATGCACAGATGTTTATCAAAATACCTGTGAATCATGTATGATTCTCCCAGATGTGACAGGGCTGCATTTGTTTTTGGTGCACAAAGAGGACTCTGTGTGAAGATGAATTCCTCCTGCTTCAGCATTTGTGTGTGTGTGTGTGTGTGTGTGCTCGAAGGGTCAGCAATAATATTTGAGGAGGGAGCAGGTATCCTGCGGTCCTCTGGGAGAAAGCTCAGTTTTCCGGACCTGAATCCTGTCTTTGTAAATGGAAAGCCATGGAATGCTTAGGAATGTTAACTTTTTTTTTTTTTCTCCTCTGTCTTCTTCTTCACAGAGGCCAGAGTCATCCCAGAAGGAGGTACTGTGTATAAATAACATCGTTTTATTTCAGTCACATCATATTTTACAAAAAAAACAAAATGCTGTTAGATCATTTTAATAATTTGCTTCATCAGTCTCCTGTTTAAAACACTCTGTAAAAACTGCATACAGTAACATTTAGCTTTGTTCTGCAAAAATAAATAAATAAATGAATAAAAATAATTAAAAAATAAAATAACATTTAGATACACCATAACTGCATTGTTTTGTTAATTCGGGATACATATGTACCTTTTGTAAAATATTTTGACTTTGTACCATAATTTAGCAAACTGATTTAAAGAGTTATTATTTTCAGTAGAATAGTGCATAATATTTTAAAAACAACCTTTTACCAGGGCATCTGTTCTATGCTGATTTTTACTGATGCTTTAATATATTTTGTTTATTATTGTGTTTAACTGGCAAAAATAAGATCAAGAAGAAAAATTACATTTAAGTATTGTGTCTGTTTGTTTTTTAAATGAATGTGTTTAATTTTTTTTTATTTGTGATTTTGAACAATATTTTAAAAACCGATGATAAAGGCTGAAATAGACACAGCAGACCACAATGCTTTGCATTCACAACATATGTTGCATACTTTGAATTGCAGAGGGGAAAAACTCTTTTCACAGCTCTTCTCTAAAGGTTGTGTAAACACATTCTGGGGAAAGTACAACAGGCCAACTGAACTTATTAAACCTGCACAGCTGCTTCAGAGAATGCAGGAGCTGTCTAAGTTAATTGCAACACATCATCATTAAACAGCTAGTGGAATGTGATAGGTTATATAACAGTGAGTGTACTAGTGTCTGAGTGTGGATAGTGTGGATTTGTCCTTTAATTTATCTGCTGTCCTTCCTTGACCTGCTGTGTGTGTGTGTGTGTGTGTGTGTGTGTGTGTGTGTGTGTGTGTGTGTGTGTGTGTGTGTGTGTGTGTGTGTGTGTGTGTGTGTGTGTGTGTTTTAGTACCATACGATGAACCACCAGCTGTTCCCTACTGGCCTTACTCCACCTCTGACTTCTGGAACTACATCGAATACTTCAAATCTATCGGCGCCTACAACCACATCAACGAGATGGCCCGGGCTTTCTTTGCCCACCAGCCCATCGGAGACACCCTGGGATACGAGACCAATGCAGGACACGAACACTGAGAGGGGTGGAAGGAGCCAGAGGGGAAGAAATGGTAGAAAGGGAGCTATTAAAAAGAAATGCTTTTCTTAGGTGAAGGAAAATGGTAGCATAAACAAAACTTACTTTTTTTTTCTAAATATAACACTGTGTGTATTTTTATAGCACACATGTAGAATTCAGAGGTAGAGAAAGTAGATCTTCTTTAGGATTGTATATCTTCATGTAATATGCCACAAATAAAAATGTTTCAAATATAATGAGGTCTATAAAATTGTTGAATATTTTTTCAAATCTTCTTTAAAATTTCTTTTTGCTCAACTTTTTTCTTCCTTTTCTGCTTTCAGAAAAGTGTATTAAGGACTAATTTCTCAAAATTAGCAGAAATAAATGTTCAGTCTTATTTCATAATATGCTGGTCATACAGAATTCACTTAGATGGAACCACGCTATTACGCTCTTTGTACACTTTGGATATAAAATAACAATTACTTTGGTTGTTAAAGTATTATTGCATTATTTATCTACTGGTAACACCACGCTTTATGTGATAACAGAAATTATGAGCAACTGATAGAGGTGATTCAACTAACAGGAGGAATTCATATGGCAACGCAACAGGTTAATATAGATATTATTACTGTAATATCCTTATTACATAACCACTGTATGCAGTGTCACTGTAGGTGAAGAACGGACCAATTGCAACGCGCTAGTAGTGTTAGCCGGGGCCATTTTAGTGTTGCACACAGTTGTTTTGTTTACGAATGCCGAGAAGCTAGCTTAGCTAGCCATAAACTCGAAGCTACAACATATTTTTTTAAACAACTGGTGCTGAATTTTCACTGAAATAAAATGAAACCTGCAGTGGATGAGATGTTTCCTGAAGGAGCTGGCCCCTACGTGGATCTGGACGAGGTTAGTCGAGTTGAAATAACATTTATTCAAACGCTGGCTAATGCTAGCTAGCTTGATAACATTAATACTTAATATTCTAGGAAAAACGATATCGTTAAACTACAAAAAGCCTTAAAATATTCAATTACACTAGACTTTTAGCCATTCTTGGAGCATATGCAGACGTTTAAGGATGGTTTACATCATTATTAAATGTTAATTAATGTTTATTTTTAGCTATAAGGAAACATCGTTTGTATTACTTTCTTTCTTATAAAAGACGAACTGCTTTCATTATTCTCAGCCCAAGTGATTTCCCCAGGACAGCTTCTTTCATTACTTTAGTCTTAACTAGATTAAAGAAAAGGTGAAACATGAACTGACAGCCTCAGGATGCACTTAAACAGTTCAATGTTTAAGATTTGGTCGCTCAAAAATGCTTAGACTGCCTCTTCATCTTCTTTGTGTTGCAGTTGACAATGATATGGCTAAATTAATTTAGTGTCAGATACAGTGGAGCTGTCATGTGTATAAAAAAATCTATATCTATTCTAAAAATACATATTTGGATATCCTAAATGAGAAATAACTGTTCCCATTTCTTTTAATGATTTTACCCTAATCGATTATTTTATGGCTGCAGGTAACAACTATTTACATTGATTCATTTGCTGAGTAATTGATCGATCACTTAGTCTAGAAAATGTCAAAGGGAATTGTGAATAAAATTTCCCCGAACTAAGAGTGACATGTACAAAATGCTTGTTTTGAAAATTTTACTCTCATATAAGACAAAGAAAAGCAGCAAATCTGTTTATTTCAGAAGCTGGAACCAGCAAATGTTGACTGAAATGATTAATCGATTATCAAAATATTGCCAGTTGATTTCCTCTCAGGTGACTAATCATTGCAGCTCTCGATTGTATATCCCTTATTACTTGTATTCAGTATGAAGCAGTGTGTGTGTGTGCTTTGCTCATGCCTTATAACTGGTTGTGCTGTTGCGTGTTAACAGGCAGGAGGCAGCAGCGGCCTGCTAATGGACCTGGCAGCCAATGAAAAAGCAGTTCACTCTGATTTCTTTAATGGTAAGTCACAGTGTTTCTCTGATGCTCAAAGCATCTCCTCCACATAATCACCTTTTTTTTTCTAATGTGGATACATTTTTATAAAATATTATTAGCACTTCAGTTGCCTGTTCGTTAATTATGTCAGCACAGCTTTGCACAGTTCAGCAGAAGGTAAACATACATCTCTTATTTAAATAAAAATCTTGCTTAATCTGGTTCATTAATCCAGTTTATGGACATAAATTCCTTGATTTGCATCACGACTGAAACTAAAACGATCAAACAGAAGCAATTAAATACGCCTTTGTCTCTCTGATGGTCATATCTGATAGAGAAAAATAGAAACCCTCTAGTGTGTAGTTATAAGTGTGGGATAACAACTAAAGCAAATCATTATGATTTACTTCCATTGGTCCATGTGCTTTGTCAGTTTGTCACCCACAAATTGTAACCAGACACGAGGGATTTTACACAGGAATGCTTGTATTGTACAGAACCATGAGCTCATGTAAATTAAAAACCAAGGTCCCTTCAGTGAGCTTTCCCTTAATGACACACCTTTAATTAAAACCTGGTTAACACACAAACACACACACACACACACACACACACACACACACACACACACATAGATTTCTTTTAGAGAAAGTTGATCATTGGTTTTTGTAAAGCTTAACCTTTAACGTCAAACTTCAACTGAACTGAACTGAAAGTTAAAATGAAGCTGAACATTTCAAACACATGTATGAAGTAAGAAAGCAGCATCATCATGTCTCTACCCTACTAAGGTTTCTTATGGAGCATATTAACTTAAATACCTTCAAAGTATTCCAGTATTGTTTCAGTAGTATGAAAGGGTAACAGGGACAAACCAGAAGACAGACAAACCACATGGAAACTGGAGCTTTAGTGTAAGCACATTGTGCAGTTTTTTTGCTTCAACCACATTGTCTTCTCAAATTAACCCTCAAAAATCCGGTCTCTCCCCTGTAAACACGGGTTTATGTGCAAGAACACGTAAACACATACAGAAAGGACGCACAAAAACACTAAGCTAATCTGTTTTCCGTCTTGCAGCGTTGGCTGCAGGCAAAAACAATTTTGGCTCAGCAGCACATGACCTAGAAAGAAAAGAGCTGATTGTTAAAAAGAGGGGAATGAAAGAAGAAAAAAGAAACAGAGGGAGGAAAAGAGTAGAGAAGAGGAGGATGGTAAAGTGAGTTTTATAGCTGCTGTAAGACTGAAACTCAGCAGGATACCTCGCCAGTCAGCTGCTTTAAAACACACACACACCTTTAAATCACTTGGGTTGTTAACACTGCTAAAACTGACATTTAGTAAATTCTCATGTGTGGCATGTCCTAACCCAGTCACACCCAGTGTCAAGTAAAGTTATCAAATCTTATTAGGTTTGCTTTTCAATATTTGTAAGTAGTAAAAGGATAAAAAACAACAAAAAAAACTAGAAACTCACATGTTTAATCAGCTTTTTTTTTGGCTCAGTGGCTCAGAAGGCACAACCTGTACCTACAGCCTGAAAATGAGACGATAATAAATTATTTTTAAACATTCAATGAACACCTGTAGCATTCTGTGCTTCACAAGATTCTTATTATCCTATTTTGCTGATCTGGAAACAGATCCAAAATAGAACCAACTGTCAGAACCCATCCTTGTTAACTCACTACAGAGATCAGGGACACAGCGCTCTGTAAGCGGACTCTACAGCCTTCTGTATCTACTGTTGACAATTTACATCAGGATGACCCTGATTACCTTTGCCAGCATCTGGTTTTGAGGGTAGGAAACACTTCCAGAGAGACCTCATCATTGAAACCTTTTCTCTCGTAATACATACACACACATTTGCGTATCTTGTCACGCTGGTACTGTGTCGAGGACCCCAACTATTTCAATCCCAATTCCCAGAAAATAATAATCCTAGCCGGGCCGGTGAGGTGAGGTACAGGATGAGGCCATTTTACTGTCTTCTAAAAGCGGCAGAGGCTTTGCTCTTTGTCGTTGAGAGTTCAGTGAGTCATTGTAAAGTGTTCTGTCTGTGTTTATAGAACTGGGGTGATAATGCAAAGCCATTGTTTGATTTCAAAGAGGTTTTGCCCTTCATTGTGGCTCCTGTAGGCGTGACATGGATATGACAATATGATGTTAAATGATGTTAAAAAGGTCAACTCAACGTGAGTGTGAAACACTGGACCATGTTATGAAGGTAATACTCCCATTCTCTGGCGCTAGAGCGGCTTGTGTACTGTGTTAAAACTTGCAAAGGGTTGTGGGTAGCCAAAGGGCAAGCTGTTTGACTTATAGGCTGCCCTTTATTAGACAAAATGTAGGAATGTCCTGTTCCTGGAGACCACAGACACATGAGTAAGCAATTTCAAGTCTTGTGTTGGCAAAATCAGTCTCTGTGTCTGGCCACTCTTGAAAATTTATGAAATTTATGTGAATATGGCTGACATAAATAACAGCTATATAGCCTATAAAAGTGGCTTCAAGCAACTTCTAACCTTTTAAATCTGTCTGGAAAACCCTCAAAGAATATTTCAGCATATTTTACATCAGTTAATTCATGGTGAATATGTCCTGTAAAAAAAAAAGAAAAAAGAATGCTTCCACGAAACTTTCAGCAGACGGCTCCAAAAGGTCAGTTTTTCATTTTATTTGAGACAGGGATGACGATGCTTAAAATAGGATGTGACTTGAGGGAGAGTCTAGAGCTCAGTCAGGCATCGATTATTTAACCGGTCACCACAAATAGATCTCTCAGGGTGAGAAAAGACATCACAACTAGCGACCAAACAAAACAAATAATGAAAGGAAAGATTCTGGTTTTATAATTGCAACAGTCCAGAAACGCTGATCAAGATGTTACGTCAAACACACTTCCACATACATCATGTAAATGTGACGGTTAGGGTTTGGCAGCCATTTTTTTTCATCGTGGCATTTTGGAAGGTGGCACCCATTGGCAAACATTTTACATTACATCGACGGCACCCATGCACCCACTGGCTGCATCATTTCTTTCCCAAGACCACAACACGTGGCGGCGGGCAGCCAAATGTGGATTTAAGACTGAGAGCCCTTGCAAGTGTCAAGGCACATTAAAAAGCCATCTGTAGCTACTGCATGTGACAGCTGTAGCGACTAGGGCTTCAATTAATCGAAAGATAATCGAAATTGCAACATGGGCAAGTGTAATAATAAAAAATAATAGCAATGTACGATTTTGTTTTTGCATGTCGTGCAGCACGAGTAGAGACCGAGGAAAACTAGAGGTGCAAGGTTCTCACCTGCTGTTCTGGCTTTAATGACAGATTGATCACCAGACGAGATCACCTGAAATCCTGCAGCTAATGATTATTTTTATTATCAATCCATTCGTCCTTGCCTTGTCCTTGTCTCTTTTGTAAATTGTTTGAGGGTAAGTTGTTGTGTGTGATTACTGTATTTATTTACTGATGGCTGTGCAACAAATTGCCCCTCTGGGTTAATAAGGATTACCTTGAATCTCCATTATTTTATCGATTCATTGATCAATCCTTTGGCCCATAAAATGTCAGGATGAATAGAAAAAATATCCCTTACACATTTGACTTATTCTAGTTGTTTTGTTCAAAACCCAAAGATATTAGTTTAATTTCCTAGAATACAAATACAACAAGCTGCAAACAGTGAATTTGGAGCATTAAAGGGGCTGAAAACAAATCTGAAATTGTTATACGAATAGAAATCAGCTTACAGACTATTTATTGTTTTCTAATCTTTTTTTAATTAGTATTATTATCATTTGTTTGTCTAATGATGTGTAGGATTTTCTCAGTTGGAGTCCTCGGGAACCCCGTCGTAATTTGAAGGAGAAATGCGGACGGCGCGTCGGCAGCTCTCATATGTTTGGCCACATTTAAAAGCACAAACAAACAAAAGTTAAAAAGGCAGATAAAAGTGCTCACCCTACAGCATCTGTTGTGAGAAGTTTAAGCCGGTCTGAAGTCAGCAGCAAGAGTAAAAAAAAAACTCATTATATAATAGGATAATTAGCTGAGAATGTGGGAGTTTTGGGAAACAGCTGGACTAATTCTAACCCTGTGCTCTTCCTCTCTGTCTCTCTTTTGTCTGCAGACTTTGAGGATCTTTTCGATGACGATGACCTGCAGTGAACGCCAGTGTGATCATGTACATAGAAAAAGAAATTGTGAAAATTGGCTTATTTTCTTTTATTTGTACAGCCCCTCCCCCCTCCTTTACATGTCACTCACCATCATACTGAAATAAAGCCTCTTTTCGCTGTCATGGTGAACCAGGTGTCTGTGAATTCTGAGAATCCCTCACATTCCAGCTGTAGAGAAAATTATGAGTATGGTTTTGGCGTCGTCGTGTTTGAATCTGCTCCCCCGGCTGGATTGTAGGTTTGCGGGCTCTGCGAAACACCTGTTAGCAAACGTAATTACATACAAGATACAGTGTTAACATGACCACTAAATGTTCAGTTGGGGCACGATGGGACAGGAAAGGGGCTGACAAAAATGTGGAAATGCTAAAAAAAATATATATATAGAGAGAGCAAATGAAGAATTCAGGTGCAGACTCTTGCACAGTATAATGGTTTGTTGTCAAGTCAATATATTGATTCAGTCAGGTGTCACAAATAGGGAAAATGGAAAAAGCTGGGATTTGATTTTGCTTGTGAGATCAGAATCACGTCTCTCACCGTCTTCAAACTGTCACATGAGCTTTGCAGTTTTTTGTTTCCCGCAATTTTTTGATTTTCCCTGCGATGTTGCAGATCATAAACCAGCTGCTGATGTGTGGGTGTAAAAGACAAAAGACCAAGAAAATAAAAGATCTTTGAAAATCTGCAGTAACGTATTTACACCGCACATGCACATTACAGTTGTGTGGATGTTTGCAGAATTACCACAGGAACAGATCTGCAAACATGCTGCTGTAAACATTTCCCCTTTTGGGTTTCAGGCTTTGCACAAGATTTTTTTTTCTGAGCCTTGCTGCAGGGATTCAGCCACAAGAGCATTAGTGAAGTGAGGCGCTGGTGTCGGGCGATAAAACCTGGCTCACAGTCGGCGTTCCTGTTCATCCCAGAGGTGTCGGATGGGGTTGAGGTCAGAGCTCTTTGCAGGCCGGACACTCACCATCGCTCCATGCTGCAGCGAGTGTGTTCTCATTCAGCTCCTTACTATCATCACCACAGCTTTATGGTCTCAGGGAGGACGATGTCGTGTCAGTCAGATTGTAGTGACATTTGAATCATAATCCGTCAGTTAAACCTGATCAAACCACAACCACACAGTCCTGATTAAAGAGGATTATCTTGAGTTGTTTTTATTGTTGAATTTAAAGGAATTGTTCCACATTTTTAGCAGTTACTTTTTCTTTGGATCCACTCTCATATCTGTGCCTGAAATGCTAAGCTACAGTCAGTGACCGGTTAGCTTAGCTTAGCACAAAGACTAATCAGGATGGAGCAGCCTAGCAAAACCCTGACTCTCCAGTGGTTAAATGGCGACTGAAAAATAATTTACGTTTACATTTATGACTCAATACGTTTATTTAGTCACAAATGTTTAATTTTACAAAGAAAGACAAATAATATGAAACAAAGGTTTCAAAGATTCCTTGAGTTAAAAGTACAATAAACAGCTCCACAAAGTACTTTGACTTTAACAAGGTTTAGTCTTTATTCCTAAACAAACACTGAAAATAAAAGAATAAAAGCGTCCGCTCTCTGAACTACAATAAAATGTTTAAAAACTAATTCTTGTGCTCAAAAAGCAGGATTTTTGTTAAATCACATTTGGTGTAAAAAAAAAAAAAAAAAAAGAAATCCCAATTTCTTTATAAACTAATAAAACCTCATAAACCGGCCTGGACACAAACTTCATAAGACGACAGAGAGTCATAATTGAATTACAGGTGTAATCCTGTCACATGTAGTGATGTTGCATCATACATCACAGCTATATGGCTGCTTTTTTTTTTTGCTTTTTTTTTCCAGAGACGCACTAAAATCGCTGCCACTGTGTACATGTGTGTCTTACAAGGCTGGCATGCCCGAACACAGTTAAAGTGAGGAGGAAACTGTAGATTATCAAATTCCTCATGTGTAGACCAGCTGTCCCTGTATATATGTGTGTGTGTGTGTGTGTGTGTGTGTGTGTGTGTGTGTGTGTGTGTGTGTGTTCAGGTTTAGACAGAAGCTGTGGTTTGGCCCTCACTGAGGTCTGAGAAGTGCTTATGTGGCACCTCAGCCCCCCCTTCATTATTTCCTCATGTTTTCTTTCTTCTGTTCCTTCTTCTATCTTTGTTTTTCTTGCTCCAGAGTCAGTGTGGCACCCCCCCCCCCCCCCCCCCAAAAAAAATACCAGATCAGATCCAGGGTCTGACTTCTAGCCTTAAATTTGACTCTGGATTAAAACAATGTTTGTTAAATAAAAAAAATAATAAATCACTTGAGGCAACTTGTTACCCTAATGTATTTCTCCACGTCTCTATCTCCCCTCCTTCAAACCCTCCCACTCTCTCTCTTTTCCTGTCCTTAATTACGGTGCCTGCGATTGGTCCAAAAGCTCAGAAAGTTGCAGCCAATCAGGCGTCTTGTTGAGGTGGCCCTTGACCCCCTCAGGTGGTCCCTGTGTGCGTTTTCCTGTGTGTGTGTGTTAATGAATACTTGTTGCGTGCGTCGGAGATGACGGGCTCGGTTTAAAACCTTGCGGGGTCCCCTCGTCAGGGCAGTCTGTCAGAAGGGCCGCAGGGACAGGGTGCAGCGGGAATCTCTACAACACCCACACACACACACACACACACACATATATATACGAACACACACTTAGTGTTTGAGCCCAGGTGGACGGAGTCATCTGGACTGTTGTTGGGAGTCCACATCTGGATCTGCAGACAGATACGCCGATAAGATAACCACAGGTAAGACACCAAACAAACAAACAAACGGTTAGGTCTGCACCTCTGTGTTCACGTTGGTGGATTTAGGTACTTACCCTGGAGACTCAAGCTCAGGTTGAAGTCAAGTTTGGCTGCTGAACAAACACCTGGTTCTGTTTTTCAATGACAAACCAGCCAGGAGGGTGGGGTGAGGTGGGGTGAGGTGGGGTGAGGTGGGGTGGTGGGGTGCGGGGGCCGTGTGGCAACATGTCTGTTCAAAAGCCTCCGCATTTAGAGTTCCCTTCCAAGCTGCAGGGGTCACTTAACCAGCTCTCCAGGTGAAAACTAGCTCAGCTCTGGGGTCTCAGGTTGTGATTGGAGTGGGAATTTAACACCTTCCACCTTCAATTCGGGAGGTTTGCAGGAGTGTCTGCGCTGCCGACCGCTCTTGCAGGTAATCAAATGTCTTTTTGAGCTCCTGTTTTGAGAGGATCTCTTTCTAAAATGTCATTTTACTACCCTGGTTGGATAAACTGAAACCCTAATTTTGTAGCAATAATCAAAGCAGGTGTGTATTTTTAGTAGAATCTCTAGCTGCGATATTGTTTTTGGGCGATATCCAAAAATAAAAGTACAACAACAACCCATTTGTGGCAAAAAAAATAAAATAAAATTTGGCACAAAAGTGACTGAGTGGGAAGTTTAGAGTATAAAGCATCATTTTGAACAGTGTGTGTGTGTGTGTGTGTGTGTGTGTGTTCGCAGGAGACGTGGAGGTGTGAGAAGTCATGGCTGGAAGAAGGAGAACCAGTTTCTCCGGGGTGTTCATCACCGCTGTGCTGGCTGTGATGCTGCTGCCTGGTGAGTACACAGTGGTCAGTATAGCAGATATCTGTCCCCATCCAGACAGACACTATGATATAATCTTCTGTATATGTCATGCTCTAAACTGAAATGTGTGTAAAATCAGCGGCAGTGAAAGAAGCGTTCGGATACTTTACTGAGATAAAAGCAGTAATTCTGCTGTAAATATGAGCTTATACAAGTAAAGATCTTCTAAAATCACAGAAGTAATATCAGTGAAATTAACTTCTCCGAAAGTAAAAGGACTCAGTGCAGGAAATGGACCCCAGTGCGTGTTGCTGTTGTATAAATAAAGGTCATTTTAAGTATTCTTTATATGGGGAGGAGTTTAATTTAGGACAGCAACTAATGATTATTTTCATTCTTATTATTATATTCATTATTTTTTCAATTAACTGATTAATCATGTAGTCTACAGGACGACAGAAAATACTGGATTGTGTCCATCAGAGTCCAAACCCCAAAATGTTCCATTTACAATCATAGAAAAACAGAAAAACAGTAAAACTGTTGACGGTTGACATCGTTCTTCACATGATGATTATTCAGTTATCAAAACTTTAATTTTCCGCTGACTGACTTATCAATCAGTTCGTTTGATAGCGTGTAAAATCTTATTTGTAAAGTGTCAGATAAATGTAATTGAGTAAAAAGTTCCATATGTCTGTCTCCTGTCTGAAATGTGGCGCCACAGAAGTGTGAAATTAACAAAAACTAAAGAACAAGTATCTGAAATTTGTACTTATGAATTGTACTTGCACTGTATCAAACTACTTTGTTGCCAGCACATAAATAAAACAGAGAAGCATCTGTTCAGGTTTTTCTCATTATAACACAGAATGAATCTTGTCAAATATGACTCATTCAGTTCTTGATTATTATAGAGATGCACTGAAGAAAATGTCAACTATTACTTCTTAATGCAGTTTTTTCCTTTTAGTTTTATTTCCATGACTGATGAGCTTATACGTTGAAAAAAAGAAAGACAGAAAAAAAAAGGAGTGTGATTGCGAAAGTACAAACACAAACATGCAGTAATTTCGCACCATTCAAAATGACAACTGGTGAAGGATATAATCACGACGTTGATGACGATATTCATGCCACAGTGTGTTCATTATAATCAGTTTTCCGTCACCTTTTCAAAAGCTACACTGTAAAGATATGAGAGGTCGGGAAACTTGAAAATAACTGCACATACTCAGACTTATTTTTAGATTCAAGGAGAGAGTTGATTGACAGTTGATTTTGTGAATTGTTTTAGCCAGTGGTGGAAGAAACGTTCATGTAAGCAGAAGTTTATGTTGTAGCTGGATGAGATAAAGCAAATTGTGTCTGCTTCAGTACGACAGGAAGCAATATCCGCTTCCTCTGTTTGCTCTCACACCTCATTGTTACCCTGCGTCTTTAAGAGCTCCTTAGAAATAAATTTTACTCGACTTGAAGCTTCACAATCTCCCTCTCAAGGTCTTGCTTGTTAAGGCTAAGGGTTAGTTTCTGCCCTTCACCGGTTCATGGACACGGACTCACTCATCTCTGTATCCTTGCTGAGTGGCTGTAACCCATCTGTGCTCTGTGTATATCATAATCTGGCTCCCTAACACGCCCTGCGGTGTTCATATATCATCTATATGGCAGGATGCTCCTCCGCCACCTGTTTGCACTTTGCTCTCGTCAAGGCTCGTCTTTCCCTTTTAAAATGGGTTTTTAAAATTGAACCGTCCTGATGGTTAAACAGGAAGAAGAAAAAAAAGAAGAAAGAAAAAGAGGAGTAGTAGTAAGGGGAGTTTTTCTTTCATCGTTCCCGTCCTGTAAAAAATTAGTACCCGTCAGCATCACCTCCTCTCCTGCCCTCTTAAAGCACTGCTGTTTCCAGATGTGCCTGCCACCTTTTTACAGGCTCATAAAATTTTTTTTTTTTTTTTTTTAAAAACAGCGGATACACTGAGGCAGCATCATTTAGCCCCCCCCCCTCCTCCTCCTTCTCCTCCTCTTCCTCCACATCACTCCATCACCTCAGGTCACCTTCACTTCTCCTCCTTTCTTTCATTCTTTCCTGATTCATACCTTTGCTTGTTACTCTTCTTCTCCGACCTGACACCACACAGTGTACGTCACATCTGTCTGACTACTCCAGAGATTATCAAAGATCTTTCTTTTTTTTTTTAAATCAGGAGGATTGATGTTTTTCCCCTCTTCTGCCATGCGCCACGTAACCCTGAATTATCCCCTCTGGATCTCTCTTTTTAAAGCCTCTCGTTCTTCCTCCTCTTCCTCTCCTTCTGTAAGGCATTAACACCTTTTCCCTGTGGAGATGAAAGAAACCTGGAGCAGAGCTGAATCCGCTCTTCCCTCAGCCGCACGGGGGTCAAACAGTGCACACGCTGTACACATACACACACACACACACACACGCACACACACACACGCACACACACAAACACAGCTCTTTGAAAGCGCAGCATGGGGTTTGATGTTATGGGCTCACCTATAAAATCTACAAAGAGCCGCAGCGCCTCAGGCAGAGCCAATTACCTCTGCCCCATTTAATGAATGATATCTGCCTCTAAGTGTTTGAGGTTAAATGTCGTATTATCACATATGTATTCAAGGCACATTTCAAAAGTCAGAATAGATGGAGTAAGCAATTTCCAGGACTTAATCTTGACTTCAGCAACTTCTTGATTTGACATCTGTTTTTGCTTTTCTCTGAACACCTTTGCAGCTTTCCTCTCTGCTGGACCAATCGGGCAAAAGGCCAAAGGAGATGGTAAATATGCGTTTGTTTGTTTGTTTGTTTGTTTTTTAACCTAAGAATATACTTACACACTGGTGTTTGCTTTTAGAAAGTATACAGTGGCAATTTGCCAGGGGTGAAAGACCATGAAAGTTGTTGATGAATGAGTCCATGAAAATAGGTTTTGATTAAAGAACAACACCCAAATTCATCACAGCACCTCACCTCGCTCCAGTGCAGCATCAATACTCGACCTGATGATTGATATCTAGTATGATAGGAAGGCTTAATGATATCTAACCTCAAAATATAACAAGTTTGGGTCCTTGAGTAGCTCGTTATAAAGTTTAAAAAGTCCCTGGAAAGTCCTTTAATCTGGTGCACAAGTGAGTTTGAAAAGCCCTGGGATCAGCAGTGCCTTCCATTTTTCTTTCCTGCCGTCAGCCGGAGAGAGCGTCCAGGAGAGGGCGGCGGCCGCGGCGTCACACAGGAGGCTGATCCGCAACCGCAGGAACATCAGCTGGTACAAGCAACACTCTGACTTCTGGAACTGGTACAAGTTCTTCACTGACAACGGCAACCAGGAAGCAGTGAGTAAAAACACACACACACACACACACACACACACACACACACACATTTAAAATAAATAAATAAATAAATAAATAAATAAATAAATAAATAAAGGATTTGGGTGTCCACACTCTCAGTGTCTGAATCAACTCCCCAGTTAAGCCCTCCCCCTCCTCCGCTCTCAGGTTCAGGAGATGGATCGCATCTACCTGGCCTACCTCCAGAACAAGAACCGTGCTGAGGGACGTCGCTCCTACAAGGCCTACCTGCGCCACCTGGGGGAGATCTACAAGTCCTGCGCCGACTCCGACGACCCCAACTGTGTGGCTTCCTACACCAGCAGGCCCAAGCCCAAACCCGAACCCCCCAAGCCTGCACCGGTCAAAACCTGTGACCCCACCAAGGACCCTTACTGCCTGTATGCTGCTTTGGTCCAGGGGAAGAGCCCCTACCTGCCCCTGGTGCTGCCAGCTGCCACCCCTGCCCCAGCTCCAGTGAAGGCCCCGGCCCCTCTGTACGTCCGCTCTGCTGCCCCAGCAAAGGACCCACAGTCTGGGTATTACTACTACTCTCCATCTTCAACGCCTTTCCTCTCCAAGGTAAACTATCAGGCAGCACATTGAGTCCAGTTTACTGAATTCAGTGAATTGCAAACTGTTTTTATAAGGATATAATATGCACAGCATGTCACCATTTGGCAATAAAACCAACTTTAAAGTGTTTTTCAAGATGGCAGTTAATTAATCGACTGACTGTTACAGTGCCCCCTTGTGGTAGCTCTAGAGAAGACACTGTGGCAGTGTGAAGGGCTGAAAACAATAAACTTTATACTATCAGAATAAGTTGGAAGATGCACAGATACACAGTGGCTTTAAACTGCAAGATATATATGATGTACTTTTCGTGCTTCAGGAGCAGAAGGCCGAGCTGCTGCGTATCTGCTCCTCTGAAGACGTCGAGTGTCTTCAGTACCACCTGAGAGCCGCCTATGGGCACCTGCCCTCCGCCGGGTCTCTGCCCTCCTACGCCCACCTCGGCTGTGATCCCAAGAAAGACCCCTCCTGCAAACCCAAACTGGTGCAGAAAGCCGCCTCTGGTCTCTACCTGCAGTACCCCAACTGTGATCCGCTCAGGGATCCCCTCTGCGCCTACACTGCCTCCCTTTCAGTATGTTTTATTTTATTATTATTTAGTCTCCGCTTTCTTATTTTTTCATGTCTAGTGTTTTTATTTACATTTATGATGCAGCTGTCATGATACAAGGTGTTTTTTTTTCCTGTCCCTCCAGGCCCCCCGTGCCCCTAACCCCCCTGCCGCTGCTGGCCCGGGATCCTGCAACCCTCTTTATGAAGACGGCTGCAACCCTCTCACCGCCACCAAATTTGCCAACCCCCCAGAGGCGTACAAAGGCGAGGAGACGGACGAGGCTGCGGCGATTCGCGCCGCCCCACCTGCTGCTGAGCACAACAACGATCCCTATGCCATGTTTAGGGATGCTTATGCTAGCGCTCATGCTAACAGACTGTCTGATCCTTATGCTATGTTCCGCCAGGCCAGCGCCCCGACTCCTCCTCCAGCTAGTGACCCGTATGCCATTATCCGCCGATACATGGCCCAAGCTCAAGCTAATGACCCACATGCTCCACGCATGGAGACTGCTCCAGAGTCTGACCCCAATGATCCGTACGCTGCGATCCGCGAGGCAGCGGCCGCCATGCACCGCCATGGCCCCCCCAACCCCAGGCAGCAGTTCCCTTTTTCCAACCCCAATTATGAGCAGCCAGCCCAGGAGGAGCGCCACCCTCTGGGCCCCCCAGGTAAAACCAAGGAGGGCTATGACTGCTTCATCGGCTACGACCGTGAATGCTTCCCCGTGAAGCCCAACGAGCCTCGCTCCGGAGTTCACCGCCGCATCCCCTACCCCGCCGAGGCCTACGAGCCCCACCTGAACGCTGACGGCACACGAAACGGAGTCCTGGAGCCCACCAACCCTCACTGCGACCCCGAGTACGACCGAGACTGCCGCCTGCGTCGCTTCGAGCCCGAGCAGGCCCGCGTCGAGGCCCAGCCCGAGCATCACGCCGAGGAGGACCACAACCAGGGGGCGGCAGACAGCGAGCGGCAGGAGCAGGAGCAGTACGAGACGGAGCCCTACCAGAGTGGCCAGGAGGAGCCTCACATGTCCTACCAGCCGCTCTCAATGGGAATGCCCAGCCTGCAGGACATACTGAGGCGCTACGGAGACCAGTTCCCTGAGCAGGAGGAACACAGAGCTTACGCAGACGACTACCGCAAGAAATAAACATGCAAAAACACACTCATGCATGCAGACGGACATGAATACACAGTCCCCGTGCATTCTTGTAGCTTAGCCCCATGACCGCCTCACGCAGTGCACAACCAGTCCAGACTGGACCAGTTTACGGGACACATGAGAAGTCTATGGACCCAGTGAGCGAGCACATGCACGTACATCCACACACATAGCTTCCAGCCGCAGGAGCGCGCTCAGAGAGCTGACCGTGTTCCAGAAACCTTTTCATCTCTGTAGCTGCTTCACACCTGTTGCTTTGGCCTATCGCTTTTTTCCAGCTTCCACCTCAAACCTCCTCGATCCGCTCGAATGTGTAATGACCTCCCGACGCTCAGCTTCGCTTCTGTATCTTTGCATCTCACTTTTTTTTTTATTTGTTTGTTGCTTTTTGTCAGTGATGGATTATGTAAAGTTTTTTTTTTTTCATTTTGAATGTTCTAATAAAAAGCTTGTGAAAGCTGGTTTTTTTTGGGGGTGTTTGATTTACTGAATCTTGACATTTGACTCGACTTGATTATAATGTGTCAACTGAAACAACACGGGACAACTGACAGCTGCGGCACTCCTGACTTCTAGAGTGGGTCAAGGCAAAAACAAAAGCAGCCAACAGCATATTTTCATTAGACCCTCCCTGTCTGATGAACGCCATCATCTTTCAGACTCCTCAGTTTGTATTGCAAGGTTTCTGCTATAAACTTGAAGTCCCCAAGCCGCAGCTTAAATCTATTTTCAATGAAGCTTGGAGCTGAAAATATATTTTCTCACTTGACTACCCCCCCCCTCCAGAACCACACAAGATAAGGCTGAGTAGCACTTCTTGTCACTAGAAAACCGACTGATGAGTAAAACACACCAAAGCATCTATTGAAAGTTCTCAAAACCACTTCTGCAGCATAATGTACTTTGCTGCTGTCCATTTGTACGGAAGCCCATCAGGGCCAGAAAACAAAAACGATGCAGCATTAGAAATAATAACAGTCGACATCTGGAGACAGGCTACTAAGTACTGCACTCTCTCTTAATTTTGACTTTAAATCACATAATTCTAACTTAAATCTTATCTTTAAAGTCAAATGTGGGCTTAATGTTTTACTTAATGAGTCATGAACTTGATTTAGCATCTCCTAATCCTGACAGAATATCCCATATATTTTCATATATCTTTTTCTGGCAGAAATGGGTTTCCACATTGTGTTTACTTATATTACTGCAAAAATATACAGCTTCAGTTTGTTGCTTGTGCACTCAAAAAGAGCCAAAACATTGTCCATCATTGTAGTTGTTTTCCAGCGTGTTCCCTTTGGAGAGACACGAGTTCGATCTGACAGAACCTGTCGTCACTGAGAGAAGAACAGCCTCCCTTTCTCCCTACAGACGATGTGCTTTCACATCACGTTAATAAAACCCTTGATTCATAGGTTAATAATGGCAAAGGTCACTGTGCTACGTGTAAAAGTAAAACAAATGATCAGGTATTCAAACAGGATGGATGTTTTCCCTCCCCTCATTTCCTATTGTGATGACAGATAGGAGTAGATTTTCAGGTTGGCTCATCAGCAAAGTCAAACAACATTTGAACCTCCACTGATGGAGCCCGAATCTCGTCTTTGAAAAGGGGCTTCTCTGGCCCCTCTGCTCCTCATCTTGCCCTCCTCTGACTTCCATCTTTTGCCTCGCTGGTTCTCAGTCGGCCCCAAATACAGGCAGCGAGAGGAGGGTCAGAGAGAGAGAGAGAGAGAGAGAGAGAGAGAGAGAGCAGAGGCTTCACTTTATTGATCCATGAGCTCTCAAACACATTTGGAGCGGCTGCCATTCAGAGGCCCCGGAGGGAAGCTCTGGTAGAGCACGGACAGAAAACTTCAGACGACTTTTAAAAGAATTCACCACAGTTATCATCATCATCATCATCATCATCATCATCATCGCTATGGCTCCTTTTAGGAGAGACGTACCTGGGAAACAAAAGAGCACTGATGTCAAGAGATGTGGTGTTTACACTGAAAATAAATGCTGGCTTAAAGAATAACCCAACCTCTCCCAGGGAGACGTGAGTGACGGGGAAGAGGAGCACATCTGGATGGAGTACACAGCGGCTCGCCGATAGCTGTGGCTGCAGGACGCCCAGGAAATGTGGAGTCATTGTTGATATCTCCCGCTTCACTCTTGCGGTGTATCCCCACGGGGCCACGAACGCACATGTGCTTGCAGTCTAAACATGAGCCTCGCAGTTATGTCTTCTGCCAATTTCATCCTGAATCTCCCCGTTTGATTTGTTTATTTCCAGGTTACCTGCAGGAAAACCCCCCCGGCACCATCATGACAAGGAGTTAGCATATTTTCTCTCTAACTCATGACTGCAGGTTATTGATTTGTCTCCTCTCTGTTCCCAGAGCTGCTTATCGTCTGTCTTGTTCCCTTTCTATTATCAGATTTTTTTTTTTCCTCTGAAGGATATTGTGTCTCTATGAAATTAGTTTGCTGATAACATCTGAAAATGCACCTGAAGTTTATCTTGAAAATGTAAGAAAGTGGATACAGACAAAAAAAAAAAACAGATGAAACTCTTTCACTTCACTCGACATTCTCTAATTTGCCAACACTGAAGAACATGTTCCAGTGAGTATCAGATTTTGGGGGAAATTGAGCTAAAGTAACGATTTAAACCAACTTTTAATTGTATAGTCGAAAAAAAAGCAAAACAGATGCAGTATATACATTTCTGACCCACCTGTCATATTCAAAAGTGTGAAACATGTTTTTTGTGTTTCATTTGGTTCAACTGATGCCGACACAACATTTCGTGTCAGTTGTCTCAGTGAGAAGAGATAAAATCGTGGAGAGACGATGATTAATGACTCTGCAAGTACCCTAAACCAGGCCTTTTTTGTTTTCCATGGGGAAAAGTTAAATGTAATGTGAACTTAAAACGTCTGTGACCGTCTGAGGTAGTGACCACCGACAATAAGTGACTAGTCTGACAGAGGTTTGTGGATCATATGTTTCCTTCAGGAGGCAGAGAAAGAGATAAAACTACAAAGAGAGAGAGAGAGAGAGAGAGAGATCACAGCGCTGTAAAGAGAAAAAGTACGAGGACCTGCATCTTTATGTCTGTGTTCGCTCTCCCGCAGGGTGAGAGACAATATAAAGAAACAAATCAAAGAGAAGCCGCATGAGACAAAGTCCATCTGAGCAAATGAAGAAGTGAGTGATGGCATGTGTCTCATCTGTGTGCGAGTGTGTGTGTGTGTGTGTGTGAGTCAGACAGTGCAGGGGGTATGACTTTGTCAGCAGCTGGAGGCAGACCGACTCAGATATAATTAGGGGTGAGGATCTCGTTCTGTTACACACACACACACACACACACACACACAGTCTACAGCTGGGACTCCCTCTTGCGGTTGCTGATGTGCAGGGGAGGTTGAGGTGGACGTCAGTCACTCCTGATGCTGTCGACACGCGTCAAAGCAGATTATCTGTTGAAGACTAACAATAGATCGCACTGTCGCACTAATGAATCTCCATCCTTTACACCTCTGTCCTGTCACTAGCTGTGGAAAGATGCATTATTTTACAACAAGACATTTAACACTATGAAACCAGTGGTACATAATGCCGGCTGCAGTTCGGCCTGCACAGGAAAAGGTGGAGGACAGCGCGTCTGTGCGACAGCTGCGAGTCAAGTCAAGTGCACGGCTGTAGAACTGAACCATCAGTCACCACCTGCACTGCTCCAAGCTAAACTTTGTCAGGTGAGTGTGTAACATGATTTAAGCTTGTACTGCTTCCAGTGATATGGCTGATAGTTAGCATGGTAACATAAAACCCAATAGAAGTCAGGGAGTCCAGAAGATCAAGAACAAGTGACTGAAACCAAAGGAAAGGCAGAGGAGACACTGGTGGTGAAAAGATAAAAAAAAAAGGGAGAAAGTGGAAGGGAGAGAAGAAACAAGAGTTGATGATGAGAAGATGGGAATAAAAAAGAAACAGCAGGTGTCTTTGCTGGAAATGGCCAAGCGCTGTGCAGAAATATTTTAGCGCACGTCACTGACGATGAAGACGTCATGATGTGGAGGAGAAAAGAATCGGCAATGAATTATCGCTCACCTCTTCTTCCCCTCGTCTGTCTGAGTCAGAGAGAGAGAGAGAGAGAGAGAGAGAGGACCGAAGAGAGAGGGGGGGGATTGAGGAGAGAGAGAGGTATATTTGTCATATAGAGAAACACACTGCCCTGTATTGTAGGTGTTTGTTAGTGGGGGCTTGTGGTCAGGGAGCTGTGCATGAAGAGAGAAACGTGTTGTGAGGTTTCAGGCAGCAGTGGACAACCTTAAAAGGTCACACACACACACACACACACACACACACACACACACACACACACACACACACACACACACGACCTACTGCCCTTTTAAAATCCTGATTAAATGAAGTTCCTCATTAGTCTGTCATGACGACTGTTGTCAGTTTATCCAGAGTCGTATAAAATATGAAACGTTTTTGTCATAATTGCTGCGGGAAGTCGAGAGTGATGGCAAAAAAAAAGTGTTGAGGTCACTGTGACCTTTGACCTTTCACCATCAAAATTGAATCAGTTTGTCCTTGAGTCCAAGTGAACGTTTTTTTCCCATCAAATATGAAGAAATACCCACAAGGTCTTATGGAGAGATCACGAGGCCAAAACTGTTTTGTGAGGTCACCACACTGTTGACCTTTGACCCCCCCCCAAATCTAATCAGTTCATCCTTGAGCCCAAGTAAAGGATGTGTCAAATCGGATGGGATTCCCCCGGGGAGTTCGAGATAAAGCCAAAATCATGTTTTGTGAGGTCACTGTGACCTTTGACCTTTGACCACTAAAATCTAATCAGTTCATCCTCGAGTCCGAGTGAGTGTTTTTGCCAAATTTGAAGTAGTCTGTGGCTGTGAGATCAATTCACTTTTGTTTGACAAGTAATTACCTCAAGTTGAAAAAAAAAAAAAGAAGGTATT